CCATCTTCCTCAACTGATAAATCAGTCTTCTTCCATGTTGAACAACACTTGGAAAAATCATTAAGAGTAACAAGAGAACACAATTACTCTGGGTGGGGAACTTCAATATCCATCACCATGATTGGTTTGATAGAGCCAGTATTTACCAAACTGGTTTGAGCATAGCAGGACATGTGTACCAGACTGGGCCTGCAGCAGGTGGTGAGAGAAACAATGAGAGGAAAAACCTATTTGACCTTGCCTTCAGTAATATATCTGCTGATGATGTATCTGTCTGTGACAGCATCGGTAAAAGTGACCATCACACAGTCTTGGAGTAAAGACCGATCTTTTCACTGAGTAAGCCTTTGCTACCACCATGTACCACCATGCTAAACATAACAAAATCAGATACAGCAGCTTAAAACTGGATATCCATAAAGTGATGTAGGCCATCAACAATAGCAAAACACCCAAAATCTGTAACTTCTTGGCTCTGAATATCCGTCACTTTCCAACTAATATCAAGCCAGGAGTCCAACTCTTGTTTAAAAAGTGTGCCGGGGAACATACCAGGAGTAGTAAGAGTCATATCTAAAAATTAACTCCCTATCTGGTGAAACTATAAAACAGGGCTACATGTATGTTATACAGAGAAAGCAGCATGTCAGAGATAGAGCTAAGGATTTCCGACAACCAAACAGTCAGATCAAAGTTTTGCAGTGTTGCCACATCCAGTTCTGAATTTCGGGGAACAATTAGACAAACCCGGAAAAAGAAGCTCCAAAAACATCCCTGATCTAAATGATGGGGAGACATAGCATGTCAATGTAAAAGACAAGGCTGAAGTATGATTAAGCACCTTGGGCCAGAAATATTGAGAGGATGATTCATTTCAGCATTATCTTGAAGTTCCCATCATCACTAAGCAACTCTTCAGACAGTTTGATTTCCCCATGTGAAGCTGCGTAATGGCTGGAAGTATCGGATGCAAAAAATTCTATGGGTCCAGACAACATCATGGCGGTAGTACTGAAAGCTGGTGCTGCAGAACAAGCCATGCCCTTAGCCAACCTGTTTGAGTGCATTTACATCAAAGGCATCTACCTATCAATGTAGAAAATTATGCAGGTATGCCCAGTCCTCATAAAAGAAAAGGATATTTCAATTATTGCCCCATCATTCGACATCAGCAAACCAATGGGCGATGTCATCAACGTGTTGGCAAGCCACGGTTAGTAATAAGCTGCTCATTGATACTCAGTTTGGATTGCACCAAGGCCAATTTGTTCCTGACTGCATTACTGAAACAGACAAGGTGAATTTCAAAGGTGAAGTGAGCATGGCATCAAGTTACCTCAATAAACACTGAAAGAATTGAGGACACTGTAAATCAGAAATGAAAACAGAAGTTGCTGGAAAAGCTCAGTTGTCTAGCAATATCTATGAAGAGAAGTGAGACTTAACATTTTGGGTCCGGTGATGCCTCCTGAGAACAAATGGGTCACTGGTCCGGAAAAGTTAACTCTTATTTCTCTTTACAGATGCTGCCAGATCTGCTGAGCTTTTCCAGCAACTTCTGTTTTTGATCAAGTTAACTCAGTTGGCTGGGCAGCAGGTCTATAAATTTGAGTGATGTGAACAGTGCAAGGTCAATTCCCATGCCAGCTGAGATTACCGCGAAGGTCCTGCCTTCTCAACTGCACTCCTCACTTGAGGCATGGTGACCTTCGAGCTGAATTTGCCTCTAGTCATCTCTCTCTCTAATGAGAGAGTGGGAACAAGGCAATTTTATCGTTAAGCATGCAAAGCTCTTCAGACACTGATGCAGTCTGTGCTTGCATGCAGCCACATAATAAAACTCAGGTATGGGCTGAAAGATGGTATGTGACATTTGTGTAATTCAAGTACCAGGCAATGGTTATGTTCAGCAGGAGAGACTGTAACAACCTTCCCTCAAAGCTCATTGGTATTACTGTTGTTGAATCTCGTGCTAGCAATGAGCTGGGGTTTACCAATGACCAGAAGATTAACTCGACCAACCAGATAAATACAGTGCTTACAGCATGGCCTGTAATTATTTACAAAGAAAACTCACCACCATCTTCTCAGCTTTAAATAAGGATGGGCAATAAATGCTTGCCTTGCCAGCAAAAGTCATGTCCCAGGAATGAATGAAAAAAGGCACAATGTGATACAACCTGGCCCCTGGAATGTGTCATTAAACTGAATATTCAAAGTGAATTTCTCTGAAGGGTTACTTATTTTAAACTCTTGTCTATTATTTTGCAAATTTTTATAAATTCCTTTTGCAAATTATCATTTCATGGTCTTCTTTTGCAATGGGTCTTGCTCAAAGTAACGTTTTACACTTTGCAAAAGCCTCCAACGTAAACTCATTAACTGCATTTATTTTTTAAATCTATTTTTGGAAATTGGGTGTTGCTGAAAGGGTTCTATATATTGTCCATTCCTACATTTCCTGAAAAGATGGTGGTGAGCCACATTAAATCACTGCAGTGTGCTTTGTGGTGATGGAAAACTTCCAATAGTTTTAGATAGTGAACTCCAGGGTTTTCAAAATACATGTTTTACAGTCAGAGAAGCTTAGATTTTGAAGGATCTTGTGAAGTATGGTGTTCCTATGATATTGTCTTTCTTTCTATAGGAGGCCGAATATCTGGGTGGTGTTTATGAGGAAACTCGCCATGTTGCAAGGTGCATTCTAGAGATAACAAATACTGCGGCCACTGTGCACTGATGGTGCAGAGTGCATATGTAGTTTCGTGGCAATGACCAATTAAATGGATGCCATCGAGCATCCTGACTGGTGGTCTAGCTGCTGCCAACTTTGGAATGGGAAGCATTTGACTTCACTGATTTGAACCTTGAAGCTAATCGAACAACATTGAGAGGCTTTTGTTGTGCAGCACCCAGAATTTGTCTTGAACTTATAGTGAAGTCATGAAGCTGGTGTGTCAGTTCAGCTTCAAGCCAGGTGTGACTCTCGTGGATAGTTAAAGCATGAAACTTGGTAACAGTGAAGCTCAGAAGATAATAGACTTTTCCTTGTTCGAGGTGACCATTGGCATTTATGCCTCACAAATGTAACTGCCCTCAGGTCAGTCAAGGCTTGGATACTGTCGAGGTCATGCTATAATCTAAACTGAAGTTCAAGAAAACAATAGCTGTGGGAACATTCAAACTGAGCTATAGCACATAAAAACCATATTAAATAGACCTGAGTAAACTATTTATCCTTTAAGCCTGCTTCAATATTTAGTACGATAATCTTGATCTTCTACCTCAACTCTGCCTTCCTGCATTGTCCCCCAATTCCTTGATTTGGCTAAGAATTTAATGTTTCACTGGCAGCACTTCTTTCACATTTTTCTTAACTCTGAGGAATGCAGCATGAGCACAAACCAGATCTCCTCAGATTTAACAAGTGGAAGGATAAGTGTAATTAGATGGCACTATTGGTAATGACTGTACCACTTTGTTTATGAATGCAAGAAGGTTGTTAGGAAAACTACTGGCTTTAGAGATTTCTCCTACTTTTTATAGCTAGAATATACCTCTGTAAATTGTCAAGTTTGTCCTAGCTATTTTAAAAGTGTTTGAGTTGGGAGATAAATAATTCTGTGTGTAATTCTATCTGCAGTACAACTGAATTATGAAACCACATTATCCTTAAAATGTTTTGGTCTTAAGAGTTCAATACCCTTTTAACTTTGCGCTCATTGTTTTCCTTTGGGTGAACATCAAGTCTATTAACATTCTGCAGACTCTTTCAGATTGCTTTACAGAGATGTCAATGAATCATCTGCATAATTCCTTTCTCTCATCCATCTGCAATAACTTATAATTGGCACCTTTAAATGACAGTTACACTTGTCTAGCTTACTCAACTATTTGTTATAATTCACCCTGTGAATTCTTCCTCACTGTCTGATTGCACTTACCTTTTCAGTTTGGGATCATCATGACAATCTCATAAATTGACTTTAAATTTGTGAATCAACAGAACTAAGTGATCTCAATGATAGTAGGAACTGCAGATGCTGGAGAATCTGAGATAACCAGGTGTAGAGCTGGATGAACACAGCAGGCCAAGCAGCATCAGAGGAGCAGGAAGGGACGTTTCGGGCCTAGACCCTTCTTCAGAAATGGGGGAGGGGAAGGGGGTTCTGAAATAAATCGGGAGAGAGGGGGAGGTGGATAGAAGATGGATAAAGCAGAAGATAGGTGGAGAGGGGACAGACAGGTCAAAGAGGCATGGATGGAGCCAGTAAAGGTCAGTAAAGGTCCATCTTCTATTCGCCTCCCCCTCTCTCCCTATTTATTTCAGAACCCCCTTCCCCTCCCCCTTCTGAAGAAGGGTCTAGGCCCGAAACGTCCCTTCCTGCTCCTCTGATGGTGCTTGGCCTGCTGTGTTCATCCAGCTCTACACCTTGTTATCTCTTATAAGTGATCTCAATACTGGGTGTAATCTCAGAACCTGTGGCCAAGCTTCCATGATACTTTGCAATACACCAGTTACATTCACCCTCCAAGCAAGTTCTAATCCAGATCCTACGTTTTGCCCGTGGCTTTGATCTTATTTTGGACACCTTTCTTAAACACATTGAGGAAGTCTTAGATGTACAACGTGGCTAATCTACTGTCTGCTTTGATTTCTACCTTCTCAAAGCGGTTGGTCAGGACAACTGATCCCAATGAATCCTTCTTCACGCTCTGAAAAGGAGCAAACTCTGCAAATTCCTTATCAACCCAAAACCACCAGACACGCAGCTGGAAATGTGACACATTACCACCTCATTCAGAGAGTTCGGGCAAGAGCCTCCTACGTTTGGACAACAGTGGGCGGATTTATTTACTGTTTATCAAAAAAATGCTCTGTGTAATTATTCTTTCTGATTGCTTCCGTTTGGGGAGGTATGGAGTGTAATCAGGAGGAGGAGCTTATGAGCTGTTTATTAATGTGAAACTTTGGAGTTTTTCGAACTTGCTGTTTGCAGGAGGCAGCTCGATATTATCTCGTTTATTTGTAAGTAGCAATTGCTTCTGCAATATTTGTGTGTGGATTTTATACAGAATAAAGCTAGACAATGAATGTATACAGCCGTTATAAAACTCCTGTATGCTGCCACTGCGTTTAGCCGATTTACCTTCAATTTTGTATTGAACTAATTCTGAGACTTTGAATTGGGAATTTTTATTTCAATTGCATTAATGTGAAGATGCAATAGATAATATAGATTAGTTTTAGAAAGCCCGCTCTGCAAAATACCTTGGATTTCGATTTTGTAGACTGTTGAAGGTACCTTTTCACTAAAGATTTTCACATGGAGCTGTAAGAAATTGGTGTCTGCCTCTTGCAAGCCATTGTTTGAGGTGGATCTCCGCCTTACTCACATTTAATTTCTAAAACAATGCAGCAGTTTCCAAGCCAGATGTAAGATAAAGCATGATCTCGTTTGCTCACGAAAAAGCATGGATTAGATTTGCTGCACTCTGAGAGGACGCTTGCTTTATGAGTGGCAGAGTGCGCCGTTCTCGCGATTTGCCATCTCTCTCTTTCTGGGTATAAATTCCTTCATGCATGAAACTGCAATGAAATTGCCTTTTATTTCCCGTGAGTGCACTGTAGCGCTGACTAGGTTCTGCTCCGCGGTGCTCGAACCGTTGTGAAGAGGCAAAAGCCGAGCCGCCTTCCAGGGTGGATAAGTGGAAAGGTTAGTATAAAACGATTGGGATTTGTGTGGGTTGCAACTACCCTGCAACTCGGAAAGCAGCCGTAATGTAAACGTAAATAAAAACCGAACGTAATGTAAACATGATCGACTCTCGTTTGAATTGAGATACAGGATTTTGTCTCCACTGAGGTGAGAAATCTTTTGGTTGACTGAAACCGTGCGATTACTGACAGGGTTCAGACTTTGCTGTGGAAAGGGCTAATTAATATTTGGACAATCTTTTCGAATGCCGATCAGATTAATTTAGAAAAGGTGAGGACACCACACAAAACGCGCATTTATCCAAAGATGTGCCTCAAAGTGGGGTATGTTAACTCTATCCCGCTGGATTTTTTAAGTGAACTGAGAGTCAACGGCGATTTAAGAATAACAGTTGGAATTAAGTCGATATTGAGTTTTTTATACAGCACAGAGAGAGGCTCTTCGGCCCATTGCGACCGTGCTAATCATCAAGCATCTGTTCTAATTCCATGTGCAAGGCCTTGTATGCTAAAACGTGTCAAGTGCTCAGCTAAATTATTCTTTAATATCTCAAGTTTCCCACCTCTACCCCCATTTCAGGCAATGAGTTCCAGATGGCCACCACCGTCTGGGTACATTTCCTCCTCCAGAACACTCTAATTCTCTGGCTCCTCCCTTTAAATCTATGCCCACTGGTTATTGACACCATTTACTAAATATCTCTCTTGTCTACCCTATCTATGCCCCTCAGTGGATAGTTAAGATAAAATCTGTCCGATGATGTGCATTGCAAATGGCAAGAGCTTACTGTTTTGCATTACAGTACAATAAGTATAGACTGATGCACTTTAGCTCAGTTGGCTTGTGGTGTAGTGTGATGCTAATAACATGGGTTCAATTCCCATCACTGGCTGAGGGTGCCAGGAAGAACTTTCCTTCCCATCCTCTCCCCTTGCTCGAGGTATGATGGACCCTCAGGTTAAATTACAATCAGAATCTTTCTCTAATGAGAGAGCAGTCTTATGGTCCAGTAAGACTATGGTGACTCCCATACAGTTAGTCATGGACCCTTGCTAGCAACATTCTATTAGTACCATTAATATTCTGTAAGCAGCTGAAAGTCCAATTAATAGATGTTGTTTGTAGTATTGGTTTGGGGAGCAAACCATCTCCTTGTTTTCTTTTCCTTCAGTTGTGTTATGTGATCTTTGATATCTGAAAGTTTGAGAATCATTTGGGTTTAGTGTCTCACTTAAACTTGCTCATCACATTTTGACAGTACTTCAGAACTACCTGCTGTTTGTAAATGTGCTACCTAAATGCATTTTTAAAAAATATCAACCTGTTCTATTCAACCTGGTCAGAGATGTTATTGCATTACATTGGAACAGGTGTTACTCGAATGCAGGTTCCTTGTCCGGGGGAGGGACATTTCCACAGCACCAAAGGAAGGCATGTTCTTTTTTTTAATGTTTCAGTCCAGATTATGACCCCAAGTCCTGGCAAACTGACCCTGTAACCTTCTGAATAAGAAAATGTTAAATATGCACCAACCTTATTTTATTACAGCCTTTTGTGTAATGAAGCAGCAGACCCATTCAAAAATAAGATTGCTATGCCTATAAAAGTAATCCCAATGCATATTTTGAAGCTATTGTAGGAATAGATAAGAGACACTTGTTTAAAATATAGCCTGATCAGGCTAATTGAGCACTTTAGGACCCCACATTTGAGTACCAAGACAGATAACGTCTTTTTAAAAAAAGCCTCCAAATTCCTTCAACTTCCACTTTGAAAAATACATCTCTGGGTCCACCACTCATCACAATATTTTGGTAGTTTTCATTTGTTCAGTCCCACCCCTCAATGTCCTTGTCTCCAGTAAAACCCATGTGCACGCATTGTCAAATCTGGCTGAACCCTATCAAACCAAAACCGCTCACTACTCCAGCCCAAAGTTTGTGTGTTTCCCTTCCAGCTGTCCTCATAGTATCTTTGAGCTCATTCTGTCCGTGAGACCCACTTCCTGCTTTCTTGACTCTATTCTAACTAAACTGGTGATCACCCAATTACCCTTCAAAGTTATTATCATAAATAGTTTCCTCTTCTCAGGTTCTACCCAGCCCTTTCAAATTTATTACCAATTGTCACCTCTCTAAAATCTGAGCCCCTCCCAGGAAAGTAACAAGGCAACACCCAACCTCTCCTTCATCTCTGAAGTCCTTGAGTGTGGTATAATCTCCCAAATCTGTACCCATCTTTTCTACAACTCCATGTTTTAATTTTTCATTTCAGACCCAGCAAACAATAACAAAAGGCCCCTGATCCAATTGAAATCCTACAGCTGACAGTCAGGAGTTCCCTTCCTCAACTATTCAGCCTCTACGCCTCTGTTTCCACACTTAAGTCCATCGTAAAATTTACTTTGTGATCATAATTTCTTCTTCCTTGGCTTAGTTGTGATTTTTATTTGGTTATGATCTTCTGTGATATTTTGGAATTTTTTCTACATTAAAGACACAATGTCATTGTAAGTTGCTGTTGTTGCTATAAACTTGGCATTTAGTTAAGCTCAATTTGGTAATTGTAATTGTGAAAGACCTTGCTTTTAAGCTTGAAAAGATGGTAAAAATGTTTGTGAAACATGTTTTTTTTTCAGGAAAATACCTTGAAGTTTTCTCAACATGGGGTGGTTAGAAGTAACTGCCATATTATTTCTTCTAACTGCAAATATGTGTGTTATCAAGTCTCAACCAATGGGTATGTAGACAATTGAACATATATGTATAATCACATTTTCTTTTTGCTATTTTCCATTAAATGAACAGTACACATTTAGTTTTGACAGATGTATTTATTTTAACTCCATATGGTGAGCAATCCAAAAAGCATGCAATCCTGTTTATTGAATGAGCCCTGTGACACAGAGGTAATTTAGCATTACAAGGTATTGCTGCAGAAACAAACATCTTCATGAAATAAAATCTTTCTGACTTCGTTTATGTAACTAAGTGAACAAGAGCTAGTGTGGAGCAGGGCATTGAAGGGTTAAAGAATCAGTGGCCCACTTAGAACTCTTGAATTAAGTGGAAGCAATAGCTATCAAGCAGCAAAGAAATAAGGGCAGGAAAAGCTTACACATGGAAGACATTTACTCATTTAGTAGATTATTAAAGCACTTCCTTCACTCAATAAATGCAAGATAATATCATTCTCATTTTGCATATTTTATCTTTGGGATTTAAGCATTTAAAAACTTTGGGAATTCTCCTATATATAGGCTTCTTCAGACTGATTTCCGGAAGGCAATGACTATCATGATTATACCGCAGCAGAAAATCCCACATTAATCCCAAATGGAAATGTTGTCCTAAAGTTTTGTGGTACTATGGTAGTCAGTTAGCTCAGTTGGCTGGATGGTGAGTTTACAGTACAGCATAAATAGCAACAGTTTGGGTTCAGTTCCTGTACCAGTTGAGATTACCATGAAAGGCTGTCCTTCTCAACCTCTACCCTTACCCCTCAGTATGGTGACCCTTAGGTTATACTACCCATCAGTTGTCTCTGTCTGTTTCTCTCTCTATGATCTTGTAAAACTATTGGGACTTCTCCTTTATAGTGATAGTGTCTCTAAACCTGTACCAGAAAATCCAGGTTCAAGCCCCACTTTGAGATATGATGTCAATTGAAGTAAGTCATGACTTACCTGAACAGGTTGATAAAAGTAATGGAGTTTGGTAGTGCTGCGTCAGTGTCTCTAATTCTGGGCCTCAGGTAGCCTGAATTCAAGTCCCATCTGCCCTGGAGGTGCATCATTGCAGGTCTGAACAGGTTGATCTAAAAACATTGTGATGAATTTTTGTGACGTGATTTTTAAAAACAAAAATATTTTCAGTTGAGTTTGTTAACCACTTTGATATGATTGTGCACCAGTACAATGTTTGAGATTGAGGATTTGATCTGACAGTTTGCATACATTTGTCATTCTTAACCAACAAGTATAAAAATTAATTCAGCAGGACAAGCAGCATCAGAGGAGCAGGAAAGCTGACGTTACGGGTCGAGACCCTAAATGTCAGCTTTCCTGCTCCTCTGATGCTGCTTGGCCTGCTGTGTTCATCCAGATGTTATCTCAGATTCTCCAGCATCGGCAGTTCTTACCATCTCTGTAAAAATTAATTCATCTAGGTGACTGTATATGACCTTAATTGCAGTGACAATTTTCTTTCTTCTGAGCTTTCTGCATTCTTAATCTTAAAAGATATTTGTGTTGCAATAAAACACAGAAAAAGAAATCTGTCTGTTACAGACTACTAAACATAGCCTTTGGGCAAAACTGAGAGTTAGGTCTATGCACAAAGTCGAAGGAAGTATTCCTGACCACAGTGCAAGTCAAAAACCAATCAGAGATACATAAAAGATATAACACATTTTTTTCTTTCAAAAACTAAGAAAAAATAAACCTAAGAAAAACTGGCTTTGCCATTGTATTGCAACCTTACATGTGCAGCAATTTTCTTTCCAGGTTTTGCTTTTTGCGTTAAAATATTTTCTTCTGCACCTTTGTGTGAGAATGAAGGTCTTGTAGTTGCATAGACCCTTTCAGAAACTGAGGTTATCCAAAGTGCCTCACTGTGCCTCAGTCAAGTCATTTTGAAACTCAGACAGTGATTACTGTTGTTGAGGGATTGCTGAGATAACTTTCAACTTAGTCATTGAGTAGTCTCCTGGCACAAAGTTAGCAACGCAGTAATGTTAATAATTGGCCATGTTGGTTCAAATTAATCATTTTGATCTTAGCTGTTAACAATTTAGCGAAGATATTGCAAAGCCAAACGATGAAGAAGTCACAGTGCTGCCAACACAAAGTCCACTGCTGCTGAAACCTTCCCAGCGCCTTCAGTCAACATTGATGTTTTCATTTTGAGAGTTGAGCTTTCCTGAAGTTTCTCCCAATGCAATTGCATATTATTAAAATGCAATTCTTAGGGAAGATACTTTGAATTTTTGTGAAATTATATCTCTGTTTTCCAAAGATATAGCGTCCACAGAGAAGCACTGTCAGCATGAGCGGATTTCTTGCCATTTTCTAAACCACACTTACAACTGTGGCAAATTGAGGACCCTTTTTCAGCTGGCTTTCTTTTCCATCATGGGGAAATGTGACTTCCTCTGAATTTTTTTTCTCCCACAATGTAATATTAGGAATTCTCTCTCTCAACCTCTTCATTGTGTCTAAACTGCTATCCAGTACTGGACGACCAGAAATTTTCTCCATTATAGATATTGGTAGGATTGAAATAAGACAAAGAACTGCAGATGCTGGAAATCTGAAACAGAAATTGGTAGAGAAAGTCAGTAGGTTCTGGCAGCATCTGTGGAGAGAAGGCAGGGTTAATGTTTCGTCTGTTTCTTCAGATTTTTTCCTTCTGACTAAACTTTTGGTTATCTAATCTAATATCTCCCTATACGGCTTGCTGTAAAATTTTATTTGAAAATGCTTTTGTGAAAAGCATTGGAAATTTTACTTTATTAAAGAGATTTCAAAATGTTTAACTATGTTTCAATTTAAATGCCCAAGAGTGTTGCATTGGTTTTTAGATTTTGCTGGGTTGAGTTAGGAATATAGTACTTGTTAGCAAGCTGTCCCTGGGTTAGGAGTATGTTCCTAACTTGGTTTGTACACAAGTCAGAACACAATACAGTACAATAAGAAATGATTGTTTGTAAATACAAGCAAACATTTACATGTTGAATCTTTAAAATTAGTATTAATACACACCTGTATAGTTTGTAAGTCAGATGTTCGTAAATCAGGGACTGCCTGTATTTTCTCCATACAACCATTCCTACATAAGGCCATTAGCTTTTGGAGCCTGCTATGACATTCAGTATTATTGTGGGTGGTTTGATTATGATAACAGGACCAAATTTTTTTTCTTTGTACTAAATTAGTTTGTTGATTTTTCAGACTGATCAGTTTCATACTTTGAAAGTGTTAGAACATATGGCAAAAATTGCTAATCACAAGATTGTATCTTGAATATTTGTAGTCTCCCTTACTGCTGTAGTTACACAATTTATTAGATTAGCAGTTTGTCGTAGAGGAGGCTGTGTCGAGGGCAGAAAACATGAATTTACCAACCGGACTTGATCTTATGTCCATTTCTTGACTACGGTTAGCCAGATTGAGAGGCTGACTGGGAAGCCGTCAATATTGACTTTTCCAAGAAAGAAGAGGGGAAGGAGGGAGGGTGAGATTTGCTCTCTAGGGAACATTGGAATGGTTACATTGGAGAAAATCAGAAATGCTGGCAGCGGAGGTGACCAGAAGGCTTGGGCTTGGTGTCGGAGATGATGATTGGAAGATTTGAAGAATGTTGTTTGAACAAATTACATACTGATAATTTAACAAATGATGTGCTGTAAATCTCAAACACTATACAACTCAGATAATGAGGAGCAAACCTTTTGCTATTGGGCAAGAAAATAGACTGAATTTAAGTTGCTGTTGCACTTTAAGACCCATTGGAAGTTTTGACCTGTACACATATGCTGTAATTGCTCACGATATTTAATCCTCTGATGGTCTGCTTTCTGCTACCCGGTATCAATGAAAGTCTCTTACGCTTGAGCTAGCTATGTGCTTCTTTCACAAATATGTACCTGAGAAATGTCAGATAGCTTACTATCTCGTGTAACACACTGATCAACAGCTGTTGCAACCAAGTCTGAAGGGGTGAGTAAATTTGTGTCTTCTCACGCTTGGGGTTGGGACAACCAAATTTGAATTTTTACACAAATGGATTTTTTTGCCAATTGACCATGCACTTGAACAAAAATAAAACTGTCAGGAAAGTGGCGGACAGATCTCTTTGCATTAACAAAAAATCATTGTCAGGAAACTTTGTTTTCCTTTGATTATAGAAAGGAGAGTTTAAATCTTTCTCTGCAAATGAGTTTGAGACTTAATTCGTTGTTTCAACATTACCTGTAGTCAAGAAGTCTCATCCCCATTGGATAACATTTGAAGATCCACTGCGAGCTATATATTCCAGGGGATGAATTTTAACATTCATGTAACCACCGTTTAGATTGCTCTTTCAGAATGAGACAGTTGAGTCCTGTTAGATAGATGTTCATTTCTAAATTCCGGCAAGCTGGGCTGCATTTCAGGCTAGGTGACTTTGGCCATTTTAAAGTGTTCCAGCTAATTTGTAACAGTTTTTCTCTAAACTGTTTTATTGGTTAATGTTTGAAACTTGTTTCTTTGCTCTCCAAGGGGGTAACATTGGCATGTTCCCAGTGGTATCTGTTGTGGGGTGTGATCCTTTCCCTTTGTTTTGGGAATAGTTTTCCCCAAACCTGTTCCGTAGTTACTAGAACACCACTACCCTCCAGAGGGATGTCCAGCTGCTGCAGTTGTTTTCTGTGATCCTTCGTATAGGTGGTATAAGACCTTTACTTCCTCCTGGCCAGTCTAAGAAATGCACTGATGTCTATTTACATTTACTAGGAAGATATCATTCTGCAAGATGTAGGAACGGAGTCTGCTAGCCACTCAGTGTGATCAAAGCTGATGTGAAAATCCTCAACTCTACTTTCCTGCCTTTTCCCTGTAATAGTTGATTCCCTGTTGATTAAAGATCTGACCTTCTGAGCCTTGAATATACTTAACAACCCAGCCTCAACAGCCTTCTGCAGTAAAAAAACTTTACAAATTTACTACGATTTGAGAGAAGTAATTCCTCCTCATTTCT